GCGTTAACGAAGATTCTTATAACGAAGTCCTGATCGGCTGGATCAGCAACTTCGTTATATCGAGGTGTGACTGTATTGTTTAGAAGCATTATAACACCTTTGAAAAAACTTAAGCCTAATTATTATACCTTGGAAGCATGCTATATTTACAACCACATGATATGAATCACTAGTTATTTTTGTACAATCAACTCATTATCAAGCGTGAGATAAATCACATATCAACTCAACCAGTTATATTAATATTACTAATAGCACTTATCTATTAACAACGAGCAATTAAACATTCTGTATATTTTTTAAGCAACTATACATGATAAGAATGGAAGTAAAGAAGAAATAAAATAAGAAACAATATCTGTATCTGTTCCATACACAATTATGATGTGCAAAATGTTAAAAATGGTTACGGTCATGCTTGTTTAAATATCAGAATGCATTTTGAAGGCATCTGATTTCTAGCATTAAGAGATAGTAATTGACGTAATCATTATTAATTAGAATTAAATCAATAAATTTCAAGAAAAATGAAAAAAAAGTTTCTACCAGGTGATGGATGGATTATTGTGTCTTCATTTTCAGCATGGAAATGTCAATATCTTTACTGACTAGAACGTGTAATTTTAATTTTGTGGAGTAACCAGAAATTTTTGGGTCTTTAGATACCAATGAATCTACCCAAGCAGCTGATGACATTAAAATGACAGAGATCGATGACAAGGAATCAGATTCAGGACAATATGATATGGTAATGCTGACTCTCCCCATAATACAATTTTTGCTCAAGGACCAGATTTGATGGACCTAGTTTTTATAATTCTTAAGTACTAGTGTTATGATTGGGGATTATACAACCAACTCTTTCATAAGGTATACTATTAACATTATTCTCAATATGTTTTGACCTTTCTCCACCTATAAATAAGCAAGATAGAATAGCGACAATTGATGGTTGAAGTTGTTCAATTTATGTGTCTACATAAACTATTACGATAACATGATGCTCTATTAATCCTGTGATTCAAGATAAAAAAAATCCGAAACAATTTCTGTTCATAATGCTAATAAGAAATTGATGACACCTAATGAATTGATGTTAGCTGCATGATAGGATCACCTGCGAGTCCTGAATTATATAATATGTAGGATCACCCCCAAGAACCCAAAGGTGAATATTTCGAAATAATGACCAGATGCCGTCCAAATGATTGGAATTATCATTCTAGAAATTCAGATTATTTGTGAAATCTTCAAACCTTCATTAATTTTTAACATGATGAATTTGGTAAGGATCTAGGCGCTAACGTTATGATTGAAATCGATTCGCCCATGATTAATTGAAAAATCATCAAAAAACTCACCATTGGAGAGGTTGATGGCTCATTGTGAACCAAAGCTGCTCCTAAAGTAAGCGCGGTCAATAAATGGATGTTTATTAACGTTGGCTTTTGCGCAAATTATTGTCAATTGAATATACTAACCAATCATAATAATTAGCACCAGCTTTAATAACGCAACTACGCTTGTCCAGTTGAGTAATTTCAACAATACATTTCAGTAATTTCATCCATGCTAAGCATTGATAAGTCCTCCAAAACTTCTAATTCGACCATAAATTGGAAAGCATTTTCCAAGCCTTAGCTCACGATCATATTGATGAATTCTGTGAAACTTGATTAATTTAATATCTCGTTCAGATAATGCATCTATTGAAGTATCTTCATGTGGTATGCATACCATTTTAATATAAGCTTGTTTAACTCGTCTTTACGCGTTAAACTTATCATGAATTCGGTAGTACACAAAACGGATGTTTTTCATATAAATACTTCTTATTCCTGAACGCAACAACATTTATAAATTCTAAAAAGTCCCCATCGTTATATTTACAAAACGTTTAACATCATAAATCATTTATAAATAATGATGCCAATCCGAGTAATTGATTAAAAGATTGTGGATCGAAACCCAACGTTAAAGGGCTCATTTGAACTATTGATTTCTCTTTTTTTGAAAAAAATTATTTTGGAAATTTCATATGCGCCAAAAGATGGTGACTCGGAGAAAGATTTATCACAAAATATTTCATTGCGAACTTTTCATTTTAAAAAGGAGGAGATGTTGCGCAACTTGTTGTGATCCTTTAATTACAATTATTCAGTTTAAATAAATATACGGCGAATATATATTTTTATAATAACGTTAATAAATTCATACAACAATAGTTAAAAAAAAAGAATAAAATAAAAATTTGATCAATTTGAATTTTTGAGTTCGAAGTCCGGTCATGAGTAAAACTTTCATATCCTTTCATAGCTAATACGAAGCCCCCACCCTTATCAAACTTAAAATATAATTTCACATATACTCGTGTGAAGAAATTTCCGTAAATACATAATTGGGGTGCTTGAATCAAATAACTATTTGAGAAAGAATATTTATTACACTAGTTACTAATTTTAAATGACTAGAAAGTAATAATAACTTTTCCAATAAAAAAGCTGGAATTGTTATCTCACAACATGAAAACAAGTATACTTTCAGCTTTTAATTATTTCGCTTTAAATCCTATGAAATTCATTTCCAAAAAAGGGAATCGTACGCTGGACATTTTTTTTTTTTTTGATTAATCAAATTATTATACGGGTTCGATAAAAACGGTTAAACAAGAACCAAACCTTTAATTTTTTTTTTACTTATGGCACGATTCATGCATGAAAAGTTCTTATCCATGGGTAAAGTTTTGTGAATTCAAGAGATCTTCGTATCGCTCCAGCCGTTCGATTTTCAGTTTTCCCGTTGTCCTCTTTTTTTTTTTTTATTAAAACTGATAAAATAAACAAATTCTTATGACCATTAATGTAGTTATATTCAATGTACCGTAAAAAATATATTTGAATTTATTTATCGAATTGTATATGTTCGGTGAATTAGTTGCATTTTTTTTTTTTATTTTTTTTTTAGAAATATTTTTTGTGTTTGCATTAACGATTAATTTTAACGCGTTAAAAGTTTTGCCAAAATAAATTAGTTAGTTATGGATATCCTCTGCGCTTGTATTAATTTAATATGTATGTATAATATGAATAATCTGAAATTCTTATCTAATGGTCGTTTATAAAACCAATAAAATTTTGAGACAACGAATTCCCATTTGGATCGGTCCTAGTAAAACCGGTCTTGGACCGGTTATTGGACCGGTCCTGCGGTTCTGTGATACATCAAATTTTATTTATGTAATAATTTACTTCAACATTAACTTTAATTGTTTAACAGCAAAACGTAAAATCAAAGGTTTTTTTTTTTTTTTAAATAATTCTTACGCTTTCTTTTTTCTTACACATTATTTTATTTTATTAAAGATAATAACGTGACAATTATTCAAGATGAAGAAGATTTTCAGGAAGATGATGAAATAAGAGATGATGATGCCGATTCTGATATTCAAAAGAAATTAACTATATTGCGATCTATTAGGTCAAAACAAAAAGGAACTTCTAAATTAACTGTATAGAAGCATTTTGATCTTAACAATAATCATCCTACTTGTAAAGGATGCAAAGCTGTATTTTCATCATCAACAGGAACTTCTTCTTTAAGAAGACACCTAAATTATCATAAAATCATAGCATCTACATGACAAAGAACCTTACATGATTATCGCAATAGTTCACATCCTGAAATGAACAGCAAGAACGTGACAAATATGTTATTAATTGGATTATATGTGATATACAAACTTTTAGTAAAGATTATCGAGCCCCTTACAAATATCCTTAATTATTAAATGACTTCAGGTATAAATCAATCATTTTAATTCAAAATAATATTCTTCTTAACGAAATTCACATTTTTCTTCAGCTTCCAAAGCTGATGCTGAATATTCTGAATATTCTGAAAAAAGGTGAAATATTTCAAGCTCATTTTCAAGTAAGGCCATTGAAAGGCAAAAGAATTGACGAGAATTTTGATGGGGAAAACACATAAAGTAGGCATATTAAACGATCATTTTTAAATAAATAAATATTATTTTATTTTCTGAAAGACCATAAATTTATTAACGAAAGTTTGACATTTAAATAATCAATTGTTTGTATGTAACCTATCTATGTTAATCATAATATTAAAGGAACGTTTTTTATCTAGACTGTTCAAAACGTGATCATGTGTTTATAAATTCCCAACAACGATCTAACAGTTCCAAAAAGTTTTTCACGTTAACTGAAAACTATGAATTGTGCGTCTTTCGAACGCTCTTTGATAATTCCTTACAATAAGTTTATTAAAAAATCTTTGATGTGTTGATTTTTAAAGTCCTTCTTTTGACCCCTACAATTTAAATCCCGCATGCAATCGTTTTTCTTGTTCGGGCTCGGCGATTGGTGGTAACGAGTTATCAAAAGTACCACGCGGCGTGGATCTTTTCGTGTAAACGTTTTGCAAGATCAGATAGTCTATTAAAACGATTTTTCTGATCGTCGGACGTTTCATGCCAAAGCCTACTTGAAGTGGCAGAGATATCACGGAATTTTAATATTACTAACATATAGTTTCGTAATATTGTTAATTGTATTTTTACGATTATTAGTTGGAATTTTCCAAGATAAAGTTCTAATATACGAATAGAGGGTTGATAATAGAAGAAAAAGAAACACAAGAGGAGGATGACGAATAGAAGTGAATGAGGTAAATTAACCATGAAAGAGAATTAGCATTTATTTGTAATTGGTAATGCAAAAAAAAAAAAATAAAATGCTTTTTTTAATTACCTTATTTTTTTGCATAAAATTTTATAGTTAAAAGCTATTAGCAGATAGTAAATAAATTACTTATAAAATCAATAAACGAAGAAAGGTTTGTTGCGGTGTAAAATTTTATATGTTCGAGCTTAAATTTGAGAAAAGCCAAGAAATTACTCAATTTATACCGTTCAGTTAACTGCAGCCCCTGAATTTGTCACATTTTATTTATTTATCGTTTTACGTTTCGCAAATTTATAATAATTTTTGTTATTTTAGTATCGATCCCCCAATTTGAGAAAAATACCCTTAATTTAATATAAATTCAATATTACCTTCGGTTATTAATAGAATTGATACTAAAAATATAAATCTGCGAAACGTAAAACAATAAATAAAATGTGACTCAGATTCAGGGGATTAAGGGGCGTTTCAGCATTTGCTTATTGTTTGTCACAGATTTTATCACCCTTGATTTATTATCATTTCTTTTTGATGATATATTCTCTTCTGTCTATAATATATGGCTGAAAAGATGTGAATCATTACAATTATGGGAAATCCACTTTTTAGTCAAAAAATTTTTTATTGGTTCACTCTGCTGATCATGTCATGTGAACGATACTAGCTTAATAACTAAAATTACTCAAAATTTGTAGATTTCCCCCTTTTCTATTGACCGCCCCCCATGTAGGAGGTTTCAGCAATTTCCATTACAGTAGTATATTTATTAGAAGTCTTTCATGATTACAAATTAAAAAAAGAACCGGGTAAGATTGCAGAAAAATTTCACTTTATATAGATAAATTTATTTAAGAAGCACGAACCATATTATCGTTTATTAAAGTTCAACTTACAGTATTAGTATTTAACTAAAGAGAAACTAACGTCGGAATTATAATTCTCCGCTTACTGTGCTTTTCTTTATATCCCTTCACGTACTTTTTTGAAATAAACCGCGAAATAGATTCCACATCCCCTAGAAACCAAATTAACAAGTTAGTGAAAGTTCTCGTCATAGACATTGTTAGAGAAATCCCTTTAATGAGCATTATATCGCGTTGGTTTGAAGGAGCTTTTGTCGTAATGATCTGAAATGGCCTCTGATTTCGGAAGATTCACGTAGACGATCAAACGGGTAGGTCCCAAAAACGCGCTCATGATCCTAACGCGAAACTAAGACGCTACGCCTCTGGGATAACGGTTGGTGAACTTTCCGGGCTTGATAGTCAAGCCTGGAAACATCAATCTCAAAGCGTTAACAATTCTTTGAGGCGGATATAATCCGATTATAAGCACAAAGGATTGTTTAACTATCCCAGCAAATGCGCGTACTGGCACTCTCACGGTAGATTTCCAAAATCGTATGGAAAAAATCTTTAATCCTTGCCTCCTATGATTAAACCGGAGTTGACCAGCTCTATGAGAAATATTATGCATGAACAGAATCAATCATCAATTATCAATATACAATTTGAGATATGAATCGATTTCTTCATTCAGAAAGATACTTGTTTCTTGCTTACTATGTGGAAGTAAAATTTGTCTTGACGATCAAAAAACATTATTTATTATTTAATTTAAGGAAAAGATTTAATATTTTATTTAAAATTTAGGGAAAAGTAGCAGGATATTTACATATTGTAATACAATTAAAGATCTTGGTGGTTGAAATTTCGAAAACACGACCGATATGTGAATAATTGTAATTATTCGCGCACCAATATTCGCGCACCAATAAAAGAATTTGTGACTTCAGAAATTTTCAACAAGCGAAATCTATTTTTGATAAAAAAAGTTTGAATTAACTAAAAATATACAAATTAATAATAGATTAAAAATAAAAATAAAATTGTTCATCGACCCGAATTCATAAAAGAGATAATTATAATCTAATCTACTAACAAAAGGAAGTGTTCAATATATGAAGGATATTTTCATAATCTTTGTCCGGAAGAATAATATAACAAGCAGAGCATAACATGATATGTTGATTGATTAGCATGATCAGTACGTGTATTTCTTTGATCAATGTTCCAATAAAAGGTCAGACAATTATCTACATATCGTGTCTTTCTATATCCAAGCATTTCCTGAAAAATACAACTCTATTCATACCGTAACTCGGATACTCTTTTCTTATTACGCTGTGCATAAGCGTTAGCATCCGAAGATTTTTCATCTCAGGAAAATAAATTCCTAAATCACCGGATTATTATAAAGTAAGTCAATCTTTTCATTATAACTTTCTAGAACTCATTTTTTAAAGTTCCATTTTTTACAACCACTTTTTTTTTCTAACATCGTTTGAAATTTAAAATTTGGAAAGCCATCTTAACTAACCTTTTTTCTCCTCTATTTCAACTTTTCTAGAATCATTTATCTTCTGATTATTTTTTTTTTTTCCATTTTCAACTTTTTTTATTTCGATAGCTTCAACCCTTTCGAGAACTATTATCTTCTCTGGTTTTGAAAACTTTAGAAGTCATAAGTAGGTAAAGGTTCTTAAAGTATATAACTATAGGTAAGGTCAGAGTTTGAGTATTTTAACTTTTTCTTATAAATTTTGTTGCCAGAAATAGATGTTTATCACATTCATCACATGTTAATTTCGGCCAAATTCAATAATGCCGGCCAAAAAAAAATCATATGTAAGGACTTTTAATTAGAAATTTTTGTAATCTAAAAATTAATATAAAAGTTTTTTAATGCATTTATTTTATTATACATATATATTACATATTGTTATTAATTTTTTATTAAAAAACAAACCAATTAAATTTTAAATTAATTTATTATTCTAATTCTTAAATTTTAAAAATTTAATATAAACAATTTATTTATATTTATTTTATAATTTATTGAACTTGTTAATATACCGTATTTTGCGGACCACAGTACCCCCCCCCCATGCACAGTACCCTATACAAATTTTTTTTTGGATTTATTAAATACCCGGATATTTCACATGGAGGTGTTCGGATTTTAACCTTCAAAATTTATAAAATATCCGGGGTATCTCTATAAATTTGATTGGCTGATAAAAAAATTGACGACGTTATTTACAATATATATTTTTTAAGGATCAAAAATATTTTTTTAGCTTTAACGTAAAGCTTCCGATATACATTGACGAATTTATTATTATGTGATATTACTAAAATATAATACATTCCATTAATTCTTTCAATGTAAGATGTTATTCCTCATCAAAAAAATAATCTTAATTTTGATTTCTATCTTCCCCTTCACTATTGTCATCGCTACAATTAATTTCATTATTTTTACCTTATCCATTCTAATTTCCCATTCATTTTCATAATCATTTTCTTCAATATATTATTCATCACCAGAATTATCTTCTAAATCTACTTCATCTTCATCCTCCGGCATGTCTAATAATTTATCATAATCAAATAAGTCATTATCATCTGAACAATCAGTATTCGTTGAAATTTCACAACATTTAAATGACCTAATAAGATCTTCATCAACTTCGTCCCATAATTCCTTAACCCATGTTGCAACTTTTGAATAGGAAGGTTTTTTAATTCTTCCAGCTGGAGTAAGAGCATGAATAGTAGATGACATCCAATCATTATATCATTCTTTAATCTTCAAATTATTAATAAAAAAATTAAAGAATTTAAATAAATATTTTAAATTATTAATAATAAAAATTTAAACTTAAAATTATATACTGGTTTAAAGCTTTTATTAATTGCAACGTCTAATGGTTGCAATTTGATGTGCAACCACCCAGAATTATAGCAATATTTGTGTTTTTTTCTACCAATCGATTTTTAACTGAATTTACAATATGACTGTGAAAAGAATCCATTACCAATAAGGAACATGGATTACTAAAAGGATTTCTTGATATCCACACAGTTTTAGTCCACCATAGCATCTCTTTTTCATTCATCCACCCTTTTTCATTTGCTCATATATGAATACCATGAGAAAAATTTTCTCTTGGCAAATTTTTTAACTTAAAAATGCAAACTGCTGGAAGTTTGCTACCATCAGCCATACATGCAAGTACAACTGTAAAAGATGAATGCTTGTGACCTGTAGTACAAATGCTAATTGTTTTTGTATCTTTTTGATCTATAATAGAATTATTTGGTAAATCAAACCATAAAGGTGTCTTATCCATATTACCTATATATTTTATGGATAGTCATGCTGAATCCTTTTATATAAAACATAACTTAAAATAATATTTTATTTTTCAAGCAAGTCTTGTAGTAATTATTGTACTACTGTTGTTCTGCGTCGCTCACTAAAATTATATCTTCTCAAAAATCCACTTAGCCATTTGTTTAAAAATTTGAATGAAATGATATTTAGATTATTTGCCAAAAAATCCTGATTTTTAGATAGCATGATTGCTTTATTGGTAATCATTTTTCAGCTAACGGCATTTTGATTTATTCTTCTATCACAAACCTATATATATAATTTATCTTCCAAATCTGTATATTTAGCAAATTTACCCAGATGAAGCTTGAGATATGAAGTGCACATGCCAATAATTTTGCTTTATTGTTATTCCATTTGCATACTTATTTAGTTGAATATTAAAATATTTGGCAGTTTCACGTTTACTTCTTCCATTATTTTCCAAAAAATGCATCACTATTAATTTTTCTCTTACATTTCATTGTCATCTTTTCTTTTGTGATAAACGATTACGTGTTTTTTGATTTTTTTTATCTTCAATAATAACCATTTTTACTTTAAAATAAT